TTGTTATTTTTGGACTAAAATGTGATGATGTGTTTCCTTTCTGGACAAAGACTGTAATATACCGTAAATTTTCAATACGCTGCTTTCACGCAGCTGCCATTTTGAAATCGAAATCGAGGCTCCGGTTGGAAGAATCCTGGAAGTACAGATAGAGAACAATGTCTTGGACTACCAACCTGAAGCTACTGCCGCGATTTAGATGTTAATTATCCAATATAAGATATTCGTTCCTGCTTCTTTTTAATGTTCTGAATATATATATATATATATATATTTTTTTTTTTTTTTAAATGTATTTTATAAATTTCACTGTATAGTCTAAACTATGAAAGAAATGTATGTACATTTTTAGAATAACTTCTACATTTAACACAACAATATGCCATTGCATTCGTGACTCTCTTATGATTAAAGGCGACACTTCCTGTTTTCTTCCTACCGGAGCCATTTCAAAATGACGACTGCTGAAATCCGCGTATTTGGAGGGACAGAGAAGTCTCGGACTAAATCTAAAATATCTTAAACTGTTCCGAAGATGAACGACATGAGGGTGAGTCATTAATGACATAATTTTCATTTTTTGGGTGAACTAACCCTTTAAAGAAGTTGGTCACGACGTTGGTATACTGGATGTTTTCAAATGTTTCATTTATTATCTGTTGGAATGTATTATTACTATACTAACATAATCTCTTGATTCCAAGTGTTCAGAAGAGACCTTCCTGTTCTCCTCTCCCAGCAGCTTAAAGGGTTAGATTGTAATATTTCTGTAAAAAGTGATCAGTTGACTTAAAGGAAATATATGCAAGATTGTTTCGCCACCAGGGGTCCCTACCTCTTACAATAACAAAGGCGTATATTAATGACGTATACTCTGCATTAAGTGGGATTATTGATCTTGTCGTCAAGCTGATGGATCTTTTATGAATAAGTGCATACATTGATGTTTTTAACTTGACTGTAGTATGAAGCTGTGCACGATTGCTAGACGTATACCAGCGCCACATGCAACGCGAGTCCCGCGGATATAAAAGAATAAGGACATTTAATTCTACCGAACTACACGCTGAATTACTCACACGGGTCAGTTTATTAGAGGAATTAAACTTGAGGTAACGCAGCGCTGCTTCACTTGCTCTAACAGTTTCACTATCACTAAACAGCATTTGTGTGTGTTGAATGTTGTTAGTTTGGTTGTTTGTTGGCTCTTTGAGACTAAATTAACATACAGATCATATTCTAACTTTTCATCATGATAAACTACATAACATATATACTTTGATTTGCTCACCTGTTTGCTCAAGTAACATGCAACACTCGCGTCTCTGTCAAGTCGAAGTTAGCCGTGGACGTGGAGCTCTCGGCATCTCGAAAGATGTTGATCTTCGTTTTAGTCCTCTTTGTGTCTCAAAGTCTGCTTGCCATGGTCCATAATGTTTGAAAAAAACCCTGCTAGGGACGCTCACGCTGTTGAACGCGCATAACGGGCATAACCAACCCAGTTGTCCACGTCTGTCGCCTTGGTTACTATTGCAGTACGAGGTCAAACCTGGTGGAAACCGGGGGTAACGCGGATATGACGTCATTGTCTGGCGACTCCTCACCCCTGCTCACACGTCCCGTTTCCTTGGTTAAAAATTTTCTCACGATTTACAAATAGTTGGAAACATTTGGGATATTGTAATCAACTAAACAAAATTGGCTTAGTGGTTTTAGGATTTTACTTTAAAAATCCTGCATATTGTACCTTTAACTTTAAAAAAGTGATGAAACCCATTGTTAGGTGGAATCGTCAAGTGCATATTTATTTTTTATATTTTTTTTACAATTACGCATGTTTTATTTACTTAATTCCTCACTTTTTTATGTAAGTCAACTGATCACTTTTGTCTAGTTAACTGACAATTGAATCAAGGTGAATGGGACAATTGCACAATTGTACTAAGAATTGATGGTCATCTTTGCATGTGGCCTGTCCCCGTGTGTTGTTCTGGGAACTTATAAAGAAGCCCCCCAACATTTAAAAATGAAATTCCCTGCTTTAGCTTTTGCAGTTTGTTGGGTTTAAAATGTAGACTACATTTTCTTTTCTAATACTTTCCTATTGACATAAGTGCAACCTTTCCTTGATGTTAGTTAGTTATTCTGTGTGAATTTGCTTTGGCTTAATTCATCTGTTCAAAAGATTTTTCTAAAAACAATTTAATAACTTTATTCAACAAAGATCCATTAAATTGATTTACAAAAGATTTCTATTTCAAATAAATGCTGTTCTTTTGAACTTTAATCAAAGAATCCTGGAAAAAAATGTATTACCGTTTCCACATACCGTAAATATCCAGGACAACTGTTTTCAACATTTATAATATGTTAGAAATGTTTCTTGAGCAGCAAACCAACATATTAGAATGGTTTCTAAAGGATCATGTGACACTGAAGACTAATTATGAAAATTCAGTTTTGACATCACACAGAGGAATAAATGCCATTTTAAATTATATTAACATTTATTTTAAGCATTCAAAAATTTGTACTGACCCCAAACTTTTGAACGGTAGTGCAGATTCACTTGGAATTCACTTGCAGATTCACAACAGTTGAGAGAAAAGACGGTTTCTTTTTATCAAACATTTTGAGGACACTGTCTTTTGAGATATTTGTGTAAAATCTATCAACTTATATTGTGTCAGACTACAAAAAGTTCTGCAAAGATGATTGATTTACAACAAGTGGTAAAAGCATGTTTCCCATCCCTGTCATTAGTATAATCTTTACCCGGCCTGTACAAATACAGAAGTTGAAGTTACAGTTCTTTGTTTTTCAGGTTCCAGCAGCCACTTTATCGCGATAGATAACGAACACCCCATGCTCAATAAGTTCAAAAAAAAAAAAAACTCAAACAAGTAAGAGCATTGTCTACAATTTCAAGATGTTCTCACAGTAAACAAGTTGACATGCAGACGTGAAATTCAAACCCCTCTTCTTTCCCTACTGCATGTGACTGCAGAAGCATATGACTTCCATAACTCCATCGCTCATTAACCGCTGATGGCAGGACAATTGAGTGAGTGTTTGTGGAACTTGCCCCAGATATTCAGGTCTCAGTCCCCGGCTCTGGCTGTTGGGCAGATCTTCTCCTGTTTCAGATAGCTTCACCCTGCCTGACAACAGACCGTGAGGAACTTCACATGAGAGCCCTGTAAGGAGTGAACTATATGGGATACAAAGGCCAGTTATGTCCATCTAAATCCCTTAACAAGCACAGTAAAAAAAGAGAACAGGGTAGATTAGCATGATTTACCATGCTGGTGTTATTAAATTACCTCTATACATGAGCCAACAATTGAGTAGGCTAACTTTTGTGCAGACAGTGAGCACTAATATTAAGCTTCAGAAACATTAATATGGTTGTTTAGCCTTCTTCAGAGCAAGTTTTGTCTAAAATGCATATTAGCCTCAAGTCAGAGGTCGCTCTATATTAGCATTTGCACGTGCATGTAATCGACTTTTATAGGCTATCGCCCGGGCTTGACTGGAATTTCATTTATTAAAAATGTATTATGTAGTATATAATATAATTAAAATATTGATTAGGCACATTATGGCGTGTATGTATATTTTGTAATGGCGCTGACAACGACAAAACAATAAAGTGAAAAGGACCAAATCCTTTTGTTGTCTGTGGTTTGTGTGTAAATGAAAAACTGATGTTATAGAGCCATCTAGAGGTAAGTTTCATGCAACCAATAACCGCCTGTGTTTCCCTCCAATACTCTCGTTTCATTCAACTCATACATTCAATTAAAAGACAACAAGCTCTATTAATGAACTTGATGTCATTTCTGTGTAACGCTGGGAATGAGAGCGAGGATAAGCAAAGGACGCACACTATTTATGAGGAGACTTTTAAGGACACAGGGTGGGGGAGCTAGATTTCCTCTTTGGCTTAGAAAAGACAACACAAGCTTTGCCAGCTTCAGGATTCTTATCATTCCCTGGATATTAACACATTCATTTTAGGTAAAAGAAATTGCACACCAGACCAGCTATGGTCATATTTGAAGCTTCAGCATGATCCATTAATCTTGTGCTGTAGGCCTATGCTGGATCAGTGCCATAACTCTTTAACATTACATTCAAGCTCTCTTAGACATAAACTGTGTATTAATGCTCAATATGTTCCTTTTTCTATGACATATTTAGGACAAGTCTATGTTATAAGTTATATTGTACAACATTTATTGTCGTTCCTTTCTTTGGGGTGAAGTCAGGTAAAATGGGCCATATAAAGTTGAAGTGTCATACCGTTTTCATTTTTTTTCTTTTTAATAAAGCCAATCACAATAACTGATCTTGCATTGTTGCTTCAACACTTGTTTACATTTAACAAGGTTTAATTGGTGTGAGTTTTCAAGGCATACAGGGCAGAGTGTTACATGAAGCTTGTCAGTGAAATTACTGACGTCTTGGGACGTCTTTTGACCATACGTCAATATCCGCCGTTTTAGGGTACCCTTTAACGTCGATTAGATGACGCTATCGGATCCTAACCCCCCTACCCAGGCCTAAACCTACCCTGTCACCTAACTGACGTTAAAGGTAAAGCGTCAGTTGTATGACGTCCCAGGATCGTCGTAACCGACGTTAAAGGGTACCCTAAAACGGCGGGTGTTGACGTATGGTCAGAAGACGTCCCAAGACGTCAGTTATATGACTTCTTGGGATGAGACTGTGTTAGTAAGGTAAGTAAGCCTAAAGTGATTATAAGGAAGCTTACCAACAAAAGAAAATGTTTATTATGAACAATGTTTTGACATTCAGATTTCTGTGAAAAAAAAAAAGGTTTTGTGCCATGGCTCTCATAATTTTAAAACAATTATAATTTTTCACATTTAAAAAAGATATACATACATATATGTTTAAGAGACCCATGCTAATTTATATAAAAAATATCATTAGACCTCATAGCTTATTTAATGGTAGTGTTATGTAACCATGGCCCATTTTAGACCATTGTTGGATTTTTCTAAAAAGCCATTTAAGGTGCTATATGTAAGAATTCCCATGTATTCGTTGCTTTTTTGTTGTGAATGTGTGAACAGCTTGTAACAAAACCTTAAAAAACTCAGCCTTCCTCGACTTCCTAGGTTGTGAACACCTGTGGACTGATTTTTATTTATGAACTTACTCGGGACGTTTTTGCTGGGACAATGGCATCGCATGGAGTGTCTGTCAGTCAACATTTGAGCTTTTCTAATAGTAAACCAACATATTCACACTCCAAATTAGCCTAATAATGTAGAAGTGGTTTACGTTAAGAGCAGCAAGCGCGATACATCAGATGACTTGTAAGAGCTTCGCTGAGTCTCTTTTGCTGTGCTCACCCTCTAGACACACTGTTGCTGTTATTTACCACCAAAATGAAGATTCATCATGCGATAACTTCTAATATAAATCTAATGAGATTGTGGAGACGTAAGTTTGATTGGATTCATTCATTTATTTCCAAAATAACAATTCCAAATGTATACATTAAAGGCATAATTACTTTCAAGTTGAAAATATCATTTACTGTATTTGTAAAACTAGTAGCATCTTTCATTCGCTATAGCCCCCTGCAAGCTACGCCCAGACACACACAATCTTCTCAGCATTTCTACTCTTCTCATAGCTTTCTTCCTGATCCAGTCGTAAAATAAATCTGCATTGAGTATATAATATAGTTGGCGTTCTGTATATAGTCGACCTCGACGTTCTGTTCGTTAAAGTCGCTTTGGATACAAATAGTCTGCAAAATGCATGTAAAAGTGTAATGTAATGTAAAAGTAAATATTCGATTTAATTACACTGAATCTGTCTGTAAAGGTGTGAACCAAAAGGGTCCATTTTGGAAGATCAAAGTGACACCGTTTCTCAGGAAATGCAAAACCTGTTTATGTCTTGTGTATTGAAGCTGTTGTGCGTATTGTGAGGTCTGCATGACGAGGTCCTAACAGTATGGTACTTGTTGTTTGTGTCACATTTGTCTAAACTAAACCTATCCTGAGAAATACTATAGGCAACTAGTGTGACAACTAGCCCCGGCCGCCCCCTACAGGCAAAAATGGTGAAGTGCCATTCAGAAAACACTCTGATGTCATGACTGTAATTTGGCTATGTACTTTATAAAGGATGAGCAAAATTATGAATATTTTGCACATACTTTATTCAATTCACTTTTGAAAGTCAACTATGCAAATATAAAATACATATGTAGAAAATGGAAATTCTTTTAACAATATAAATTCAAACTAATATTCATCAAACAAGCTCTCCAAGCATTAGGTCCTGACATTAGTAAATGTTGCAGGTAGGATGAACACATCCACAGAGGAAATCCGGCCACAGAGCGTACTTTTGGTTGAACGGAGCCCTTCTGAGGCATCTGGCCGCTTCCCTGTCGCATCGGCAGAGGATTTGCGCACATCTGTCATTAAGCACGTCTGCGTTGAAGACACATAAATGTAAATTGTCGGCTGTGTAAAATGAGTAGTTTGCATATAGAATGAAGGAAACCATATTTTAACCATAAATTAAAACCATCACTTTTATGTCACTTAAACAATGTACTTTAAATCTCATGAGTGTTGACTATTGCACATTATGGTGTTTACTGCAAGAAAAAGATCTTAAAATATCCCGTGGTTTGGTTAGTCTTTTTAGCCTGAAGTGTCCCGTCTGCTGTAATACACACTCCGTGTCACTACTACTTCCTGGAGCCGAAGGAAAAGACCAAACAAAACATCAGTTTCCTCTTTACTGACTTTTACAAAAACAAAAATTGCTGCCTTACTTTTTTAAGTACAATCAACTTGGATGCGATAGTTCACTTTGAAATACATTTATGGTATGTTTTAGCTTACCTCAAGGGCATCTAAGATGTAGGTGTCTTTGTTTCCGCAGTAGTTTCAGTTTTAATATTTTTAGGTCAAACCGTTCGTGTCTATCAGTCATATAATGGAGGTCTATGGTCACCACCCCAAAGAGCATGCACAGAGAAGTCCAAATTAAACATGATTTAATGACTCGTAAATGTAAGTACGCATTGATGGTCTAAGACACGAAACGAGCGGTTTGTATGAGAAAACGAACAGTATTTATATCGTTTTTACCTCTTGTAACCACAGCCACGTCCAAGTGATCTGAGGGCACGAGCACTTTGTGGTTACAAGAGGTAAAAACGATATAAATACTGTTAGTTTTCTCAAACAAACCGCTCGTTTCGTGTCTTAGACCATCAATGCGTACTTACATTTACGAGTCATTAAATCATGTTTATTTTGGACTTCTCTGTGCATGCTCTTTAAGGTGGACCCCATAGACCTCCATTATATGACTGATTGACACGGTTTGACCTAAAAATATCAAAATTGAAAATACTGTGGAAACAAAGACACCTACATCTTGGATTCCCTTGAGGTAAGCTAAAACATATCAAAAATGTATTTCAAAGTGAACTATCCCTTAAAGTCATTTCAACTTTGTGTCAACAATTTCTACAGTGTAAACAAATCTAAATATGGTGTTTAGGGTCTAATTAGCACATCATACCACAGTCGGCCTGCTTGTCATCGCACGTCCACTGATACCGGTCCGTTTTTGTTTGACAGCCCGCAAGTTCTGCATCCCCATAACAGCAGTCATGCTTGTGACAACACCTACAGAGAAGAACACATGCCCTTGAGATTACCTTTAATGAAACGACACAGAGGGCCGAGCCCAGTTCTGTCTGGTTTTGAATTGTTTCTTCATTATGTAACGTAGCCTATAATTCAAGTAGACTTGCAGAAATACACCGTGAACTCATACACAGAGAGCGGCTGAGTGTGTCGGCCAGATAAACTGCTGACTCTGTGAGATTCCATTAAACAACACCGCTGTGGAACGTGGTGCAATGATATTAGCAGGTTTGTTTATTCTTTTTCATCTCGCTGTCTACTTCCGAGGAGCTCTTTCTCAGGGAGCAGCGAAATTGGTCTCTGCGTCCTAAACTGAGGTTAAGGGAAACAGTTATTTTGTGTGTGGGAGAGTTGGGAGTATTCCTTTCCCCAGTTGGAAAATGCCACAGAAATGGACACCATGTGACCAAGAAGCATGGAGTTAATTTAAAAAAAGACTGAGCAAATCAAACCATTGCAAAGAGAAGTGCTTGCAATCACAGAGAGGCTCTGATATAGTCCATTTTGCAAGATGTAAAAAACACTGGTCCAGAAACACTTCCTGTTTCAGTTTGTAACTGTTTTCTTTATTTCACATGTAAAGAAAACATCTTAAAGATGTTTGTTTAACTTTTTGATTCAGTTTTATATGTTCTGTTGGTTGTATTTTATCCCAGCTTTTATGTAGTGTTAAAACTGAAACAGGAAGTGCTTCTGGACCAGTGTTGTTTACATCTTGCAAAATGGTCTATAGAGAGGCTGAGGCTGATACAAAACACTCAGGCATGACGGCGTAACGTTACGATTATAACGTAAGACTACAGAAACAATGACAGATGTTAGCCTCAGTAAAGTTAGCTTCATTCATTGAGAGAAAATGTGCACCTTTGGGGTTTGTAGTCTTTGTAATTACGTATTTTCACAGTCTTATACCTCAATGGTTTTACATCAAACAGTGACGTTATTGACTTTAAAATGTATCTTTTAAATCAGTGGTTGCCAATCCTGGTCCTGGGGACCTACAGCTCTGCAAAGTTTGTACATCTCCCTCATTTAACACACCTGATTAAGATCATCATCTCGTTAAGAAAGAGCTCTGAACTGGACTGGGTGGGTCAGATAAAGGAGACATAAAATGTGCAGAGCTGTGGGTCCCCAGGACCAGGAGTGGGAATCACTGTTTTAAATTGACAAACATCATATGTGTAATTCAGGGCACAATTCAAACGAGATCAAAATATTTGTTGTCTCTGCCATACAATATTTTCCCTAAATAAGTGGTCAACCAGAAGAGAAGGGGGAGGGACTTAGTCTCTCTATTTGTAGGTGTCTTACCAGTCCGCTCTGTCTCTGGGCCACCCTTGACCCCCAATACCGCAGTAACATCCGTACATCACATAGGATAAAGCTAATCGTCCCGTGCTGCACTTGATAACCCCAGCTAGTTCCAGCAGACCCCTTTTACTCCTTGGAGACCTCTGTGGCTGCAGGGAAGCCATGCTGACTGAAAAGAGCAAAAGGGGGAATTTAGCCCGGCAGGTATTCATTATCATTTAACCCAACATTTCTTTTACATGCATTCATTTTAGCAGACACTTTTATCCAATTAATTTTTAACATACTTTAACATATTATGCTGTACGCTTTTAAAATATATTGCCATATTCTCACATATAATGTTATTTGTTATGAGACCATATATGAAATATTTGACATTGATAGTAATTTATTATAAACAAACTAAGTGGTAAAAGCTTAAATTCATGTCCTTTATTTTCTAGAGTTTTGCAAGGAAAGAATAGGGCCATTTTTTACCAATGCAGTGTCAGATTCCACCGATTAAGTGTCAGATTCCAGTTGTGGATCTCTTAAAGTCTAAATGACCAGTGTTTCGCTCTTACTCATAAGATCTGAACTTTTACTTTGTTTTGTCCACTCTGCATAAATAAATCAATCTTGAACTTATTCATACTTTGTATCTTCAAAGTCATTTTATGGATTTTTTTTTATTTAAAAAAAAAAATATGCATTTTAAAAATGCAGAAAATGCTGTCATATTTTAAAAATAGCTATTAAATGTATTTTTAGTCTTAATATATAGAAATAACAAGTATGTAGTTTATTAAAAATGAATATAATAGGGCTGTCAAATGATTAATCGTGATTAATCGCATCCAAAACAAAAGTTTGTGTTTAGTTTAGATAATGTGGGTGCACAGTGTATAATTATTTTGTATACAAATTATATATAAATCTATATACAGGAAAATATTTCTTAAATATATACACGCATGTGTGTGTATTTATATATATATATATATGTATATATAATAATTATACACAGTGCACCCACATATATTAAGTAAATATATATTAAGTAAATAAATTAAGTAAATAAATTAAGTAATAAAATATTAAGTAAAAATAATATATTAAGTAAATAAATTAAGTAATAAAAGCAAACTTTTATTTTGGATGCGATTAATCGTGATTAATCGTTTCACAGCCCTAATAATATATAATTTTAATAATAGCCTAAATATTAATAACATTATTTTTTTGTGGACACATCAATGTTTTTGTGGAGAAAAAGTTTTAGCTTTAAAAAACAATCAAATTAGACCCTTGGGGTAAGATGGGCCACCAGAATTGGCACAGAAGGCACCATTATTTGGCATGTTGTTTCTAGTGTTATTATTTTTAAATTGTAATTGATGGGGTTATTATTAAATATTTCCATAAATTAGATGTACATTTCAGACATTTGCATTTATGGTGTTGCAATTTATGACATATCTTGAATTAAAACTACACTATAGCATGTGAATATTTACATATTTAATCGCCCATATTTTAATTCAAGAAAAGATTTAATTCACTAGAATAATTTTACCTTTTAGATTAATCTCTTTTATAGGATTCTGCTTTGTCTGTAATTGCTTATTAGATTATTTAGCTAAATTTGTCCAAGTTCAATTTTAAACAGAACAGTTGATTATGTTTTACATTTACATCTACATTTATTCATTGAGCTGACGCTTTTATCCAAAGAGACTTACAATTGCTATATATGTCAGAGGTCGCACGCCCCTGGAGCAACTATGGGTTAAGTGTCTTGCAGTGGTGTCTCACAGTGGATTCGAACCCGGGTCTCTCACACCAAAGGCATGTGTCTTATCCACTGCGCCATTGCAAAAAATAAAATGAATAAGAATTCAATCAAAAGTCATACATTCTGTAAAGGTTTTGCAAGTGGAGGCTTCTTACCCCAGTAGTGGAGTAAAGTTGCCTTTTTGCATTTTACATTTTGTTCTATAACAACTAAAAAAAAACGATTCTATATGTATCATCATCCTGCACATGCAAAACTTTTTTCTAAATATGTTATAGATTAAAAGTAAATGCACATTGTTTTTAAGGAGCATCACACTAACAGACACACACACTACATGTGTCCAGTGCCACACTTCTTTGAGTAGCTAAATGAGCAAATGTAGACTATATAAGACAAAAGCAGCGTGAGAAGGAATGGTTAAATGAGATGTGAGCAGCCTCACCTGTAAAGAGCAGGAATGTGTGATACAGCGCAGTCATTGTGCTCACAGGTAATAGTCCAGTCTCTGTTCTTCAGTCTCGGATAAACAGACTTCCTCAGTGCTGGGCTTATTTTAGATGCTGAGTAATCTCAGGACATCACTCCTACTCCTAATCCTCGCACTCTCTCTCTCTCTCTCTCTCTCTCTCTCTCTCTCTCACACACACACACACACACACACTGCTGGAGGCTGATGTTTCCTCAGGGTTAAAATTAAGTCGAAAGTTAAAGTCTGAGACTGTTGGATAATGTGCCCCCTCTGTCTGATGACTGGGTGTTCAGCTCAGTCGGGACCGCCCTATTATGGCTGGTTGGGTTTTCCATACAAACAACTTGAGCTGGATGAGCTGCCAACTGGAATCATGATCGAACACGCCACAAGCAGCACAATGCTATATTTACCTTCTCCATCTGTAAACAATCTATTCACAAACTCTTTATCTTAACTCAATTTTTACCCCTTATCACAACTTAATTTTGCACATTGTGTACTTTAGTAGTAGTTTTTGGGATGAGACTGTGTTAGTAGTACAGCTAGGCAATGGATATTCTGATTGGTCAGTGGGAACAATTAGGGTGAAGACAGGAAATGGGCCACTTTTTGATAAATGTGTAATTTAGTTTTTTTTTGTTTGTTTGTTTGTTTTACTTTAAGGTCTAGCTATAATATTTCAATTTGAATACAGTTGATGTAATGTGTTGATTTATTAAAAATTATCCATATCTTAATTAAAAACGCATGATTTATTAACACGTATTATCCAAAAACATATTTCACTATATATATATATATATATTAGGGCTGTGCAAAAGTTAATTGCGATTAATCGCATCCAAAATAAAAGTCTGTGTTTACATATATATTTGTGTGTGCTGTATATAATTATTTTGTATATATAAATACACACACATGCATGTATATGTTTAAGAAAATGTGTTATTCCTATATAAAATATTTATATTTATATAATATAGATTATGTATTTATATATATATATACAGAATTTAAGAGCAAATAATTCTTAAATATATGCATGCATGCATAGGTATTTATATTTACAAAATAATTATATACAGCACACACAAATATATTATGTAAAATATAACTTTTATTTTGGATGCGATTAATCACAATTAACTTTTGCACAGCCCTAATATATATATATATATATATATATATATATATATATATATATATATGCAAATAGCCTAGATGAGTGAAATTCATCAGTTCACTTAATGCATGTGTAGAATTCAAAGCAACTGGTGCTGTGTTGACATTAAATTGAATGAAATCTCAATATCAGAATTCAGAAATCCGAATATGGATAAAAATTAACTACAACAAAAATGGGACTACAACACATGTATCAACAACACTGTAAAAATGAATATGCTTTATCTAATCAAAAAAATTGTGGCAACAGATTACAAGCTATATTAATATAAATTTCAATATTAATTCAATTAAACAAATTAGTATTGAGTAATAATTAATCAAATTAATTCTTTAAAAGTTAACTAAATGAGTAAAACTTACAACAAAAACAAAACAGAAAAAAACCCATAAATTTAAGTCACCATTATGGTGATCAGTGTTTGTTTTAGGTTTGTTTTAAAATCACGTTTTTCTCCTTCGATTTTCATGATTCTGCTTGTTAATATCAGGTGTCTTCAATGTTGGCAATATAAATATTGCCAACATTGAAGACACCTGATGTTAACAAGCAGAAAAAATATCTAAAAAAATATTTGATATATATATATATATATATATATATATATACATATTGTATATATACATATTGTGAAATATATCACAAAAATATCCCACTAACAGACAGATGTCAAAGATTAATTAAGAACTCTTTATTATGAAGAGTTCTTAATTAATCTTTGACATCTGTCTGTTAGTGAGATATTTTTGTTAATTTTTTGGTGTAAACTTTACTCATTTTAAATGTTCAACTTTTAAGGAATAATTATTACTCAATTCGAATTTGTTCAATTTAATTAATAATATTGCTTGTAATCTGTTGCCACAATTCTGATGATTAGATAAAGCATATTCATTTTTACAGTGAAATGGGCCAAAACAATTTCAATTAGAGGAACATTTAAAATGTTAACCATATTGTAAAATTTGTTTTACAAAAACAAAAAAATTTGTTTTACTTTAAATTAACTTAAATTGTTTATTTTAAAGTGTCATATTCTGCATCTACATTTTGCTCCTCTCACCCTGTCTTGACCCCAGAGATTGTAATAATACCATACCTCAATAATACCTTTTCTGCTCTTTCTTTCCTTTCTTGAATTTCCTAACAGCACACTCATTTCTGTTTTATAAAAAAAGTAGATTACATGTCAATAAAATAACCAGTGAATGTCAATTTATTTAATGAATTATTGAAAGTTAAAGGTCACCCACTTTACCTGAATCCAACTGGCCCACTTTATCCAGCCAAAGTGGGGGAAAAATAACACATTTTATTATTTGCATTTGATTATATGTTAACTGTAGTAACAAACAAACCAGGAACTGTAACAATAATACTTGTTTACATTTAGTGAGCAACCTTATCATTTAAAAAATAAAATCTTATAGCTAACTATTTTATCATTTAAAGAAACAGTGTCACTATAATTAAAGACCAATGTCATGCTCTGGAAAGTGTAAAACCAACCCATTGAGCACAGTAGCCTATAAAACGTAAACAAGCCACTTTCCTTGCATTCACCATTACTGACTGCATGAAAATGTTCTTATCAGTCAGCATGCCCTATTTCTTCTCACATATTAAATAATTCAAATTTATATTCCATGTCCGTGCATTCTATAAGTAGCCAAATATCTGGGCTTGTTTTCTTTCCTTTCTTGCATTTATTTAACCATAATCCATATTGCCTACTTCTTGCGTAGTCTTCATTAGCTTTACGTTACTTGGCACATTTTAAAATACTGAGAACGTTTTGTCAGTGTTATCCTATTTTTTACAATATGGTGTTATCGTAAAGATGACAAAGAAGACATTCACTAACAAGTTTGTTTTTCAAAGCGGAAGTAAGTTATTTCCTGTAAATGTGGTCCGGTATATAACATAGTTACTTAATAGCAGATTAAATAAATGTTAAAAATACAATTTTTCTAGTTAGCATGTCATCGGTAGATCGATGTTTGATGCTGAACGCAGGTGGAGAATGGGGTATGGAGATGATGGCGGCTGTTGTCCGTAAGAGGGCGCTGTAATCATCTTCACCTACGAACCGAAAAAGTGAACAAGACGTCATGAAGATCACGTTGCCCAAAGAAGAGGCAGGATTGACGAACACATGAAAACGTTAGCGATTGTATGGAACAGTATTTTTCCTGCTGGTCATTTGTCTACATAAGGTGAGTGTTGTTAAAGTAGTTATAAATAGGTTTGTTCGCCTACATACAAATGTTTGTGCGGCCGCTGTTCAGCCGAGTGAGTGGGCTGAGGTGCGCGGTAAAAATGCTACCATGCTAACATAGTTTACCTAGCGACTCTGTCTTCACACAAGAGTTTGAACTACCAACCCTTTGGCTAGCACACAAGATCTACGTGTAACTGACTTTACGGGGAAAATAGGTCAGAGCTTCGGTGCCTGTTTTACAGCAAAAATATCCATTGGAATTTCTAAAAATGTGGTCATACAATGGCTGTGAATTAATATCGAGTGGGCTGCCTATCTAGACTGTACATTACATTTGGACGTCGAAGCGCGTTCGAAGAAACCTGGAAACAAACAAGTTAACGTTAGGCGGCTCACTTGGCTTCGAGACACAGCCAGTGTTTCTTTATTGCGAGAGCTTGTATAATGAGACTTTAAGTTAACATGCGACATTCAAGAAGTTTCAATGTGGCTAAATCAACCAATATCAGACGTCACTTTTCTGCGAATCCCCATTCTCAAGTGGGTTAAGATTTAAAAAGTATGTTATGTTTTATACTGAATTCCTTACTGTTTTGTTTTTCTTTTGAGTAAGGTGTTTTGAATGAATCCGTTTGCAAAACCCGACTGAACCGAGTCAATCGACAAATCTTTGAACTATTGTTAATCATAGCCGTGCGTCATGGGCCGAGAACATCGCCCTGATAAGTGATTTAATGTTAGCATTGTTTGTATTATAAATAGACTATAGTTCTAATCGACTTTAAGAACTAAATTATTGTTTCAAGAAACTAACAATCGAAAAAAAATTATTAAAAGAATAGTTATACACATTAGATGAATATTATCCCATGGTTTACTCCACCTCAAGCCATCATAGGTGGGTGTTTATGACTTTCTTTTTTTTTTCAGCTGAACACAGATTTTGGCGCTTCCCAGCTTTGTAATGTAAGTTAGTATTTGAAGCTTGAAAAAGTGCATCATTCATCATAAAAGTAATTCATATGGCAACAGTTGGTTAATAAATGCCTTGTAAAGCAAAGCGATGGGTTTTTCTTTGGAAAATATCCATATTTTAAAATATATTTATATATTTATAAATATAGTTTAATTTAAGATAAATCACGGTCGCACCACATGACATTTTTTAAGGCTACGGACAATTCATCTAGATGAAAAAACACTAAAATCACTTAAATTCAATTTTTAAAATGAATTTAGGTGTACACAACATCCTTAATGTTTGAACAATTGCAACAGATATTATTATTTTTAGTATTTTAAAATTGACCAGTGGAAAATCCTTATACGTCATTGACCCATAAACCATAATCACTGGCTTCCAGCAATGGCTGAATGTGCTTGTTCGAGTTCAGGCGGAAGAGTGACCTCTGACCTGATGTAGAGGTGGCATAAGCTTGGATGAGTATTGACAAGCGCAGAGGATAGCGCTAATTTATGCTGCTCACAAATTAGAAGTCAAAAACAAGATGTTTTAAAGAAAATGTTGGAGGATTTTGATATAAAAGGAGCTACGTCATATGTTGGCTCTGACTCAACTCTCTCGTGAATGCGTGAAGACAGTGATAAATTATGGGATGATTTTCATATTTTGGTGAACTATTCCTAACAACAATGTAATGTAATCATGCACATTAATAATACCTCTAAAAATGCCTTAAGAGCATGTTGTATGTCATGTAAGTAGCCTAAGCCGTCATTCAATTTCTGAATCGCTTCTTTGTAGGGCTGTAACGATTTCACTACTGCAAAGATTGTGACTCAGCATCGCAACTTCATCTTTGCAGCCAAGTGAACTGACACTGGCAGAAAACACTTATTAAT